GGTTGATTATGGATTTTACGATTCGTTGATTATGGATTGTTCGATCCATTGATTATGGATTGTACGACTATAAGTCATTAAACTGTTATTTTACATTGCAAAGTTTATTAAAACGGAATTAAGAGATTTGCAGTGTCTGTCATAGACAGGTCAAAAGTTGTCACACTAATTGTAAGTGGATTCTGTTGGAATATCGCAAAAAGAAAAATTATCAAACTATTCACTAATTTAATTTTCTAAAAGGTTACATGATGATTTTTCGGAATAAACGGACGATAGATATCTAAATATTTAAATATATTATGAGATCTAGAGTTATTAAACTACAGTAAATATATTTAGGATTATAAACGTATCTATGAAATATTTTTGGATTTCACTTCTTTTTTCACACAAGTACAATGAAATGGTAGTGGAATATCTCAAAGGGAAGATCTATCGAATTATTCACTAATTTAGTTTTATAAAAAGTTATATGACAATATTTTGGAATAACTTTCCCAAAAAAGTGTATACTTTTTGAGTTATTCGGAATTTAATTTTACAATCCCTCGTAACTTTTTTTCCACCTTCTTTTCGCTGATGAATGTTATATAGATAAATTACAATACTCTTACAAATTATCAACAATAAACCATATTAAACAATAGACACAGCATAATAAACACTTTCCCAAAATAAAAAAAATTACTTTTTTCTCTTTAAATTCTCAAACGCCAGGTATCCCTCCCAGGTATTCTCAATCCCTCGTAACTTTTTTTCCAGCTTCTTTTCGCTGATGAATGTTATACAGATAAATTTGAAGGGTGTCGAGAAAATGACTTTAGCGAAGTTTCAATGAAATCGGTACATTCGTTTAGGCGCTACAGTCTATAGCTACGTTTTTCTGCATTTTTATTTTTTTTCTCCTTTATTAACTTATCAAATTCTTTCAAAAGTTATATTTAGCATTTTTTCGTAACTCTGAATAATGTGAAATAATTATCTTTTTAAAATAAACCATATTAAAGGTACTTTAGAGGTAGACGTATATGAACATTGGGCATTAAAGCCCTGTAAAGTGACATCAATGGGGATAAGACCTAATTTATATTAAAGACCACTTAATTATACAATGATACACCGAGTGTAATCAAAATCGTTAGAGCCGTTTTTTAGAAAACTGTGAAAATGTGTTTCAGCGTTGATATAAAGTGGCACTTCCGGTTAGCCGATTTTAAGGAAAAAGTTGCCGTCACAACTAAGGCATATACCTATCTTAAATACGTGATATCATTTTCATAGGACTTTTCGTTTTTGAGCTAGACTGCTAACATACAAACACACAGACCATTTTTCGGGACTTGGTCATTTCGACTCAGGGTACCTCAAAACGTATAAATCCTTCGAAAACTCAGATTCAAAAATTTTCTCGATCGCAATACTTACACTTACTATTTATTGTAATACTTACACTTATTACATATATACGTAAGTGAAAGTAATATTTCATAGATACGTTTATAGCCCTAAATGTAGTTTAATAACTCTAGATCTCATAATATTAAATATTTAGATATCTATCGTCCGTTTATTCCGAAAAATCATCATGTAACCTTTTAGAAAATTAAATTAGTGAATAGTTTGATAATTTTTCTTTTTGCGATATTCCAACAGAATCCACTTACAATTAGTGTGACAACTTTTGACCTGTCTATGACAGACACTGCAAATCTCTTAATTCCGTTTTAATAAACTTTGCAATGGAAAATAACAGTTTAATGACTTATAGTCGTACAATCCATAATCAATGGATCGAACAATCCATAATCAACGAATCGTACAATCCATGATCAACCAGTGATATAATAAATAGGACTTTTGTTATTTTAATAGCATTTGTATTTTTTTAGCTTTAGCTCAGTTTAAAATGAAATTTAAAACATTTTATAATAGCCTAACATGGCCAGAAAATAATTTTTATTCAAAGTTCAAAGAGTAAGTGAAAGTTGTGTGTTGCGCTCACCAGATTTTTCAAACTTAAAAATATTTTAAAAGTTTACATTTAATTAGTAAATGTCATTTGATTTCCTTGAAAACATGTGATTCACGTTAAACATTATTAGTTTTCAAAAATTATTATTTATAATTTTTTGCCTCTCTCCGTTACCTTCTACAACTTTCTATATTAGATATTGTTTTTAGACTTTATTACCTTTAGACTTTATTTTCGGATATTGATTTTCGACCTGGATAAGCATTTTTATTCTTCTTCTTTATTGAATTATCAAATTCTTTCAAAAGTTATACTTAGCATTTTTTCGTAAGTCTAAATAATGTGAGATAGTTAACTATTTAAAAGTAACCATATTAAAGTTACTTTAGAGGAAGACGCATATGAACATTAGGCATTTAAGCCCTATAAAGTTACATCAACAGGGATAAGACCTAAATGATATTAAAGACCACTTAATTATATAATGATATAACCGAGTTTAATCAAAATCGTTAGTGCCGTTTTTGAGAATATTGTAAAATGTGTTTCACCGTTGATATAAAGTGGCACTTCCTGTAAGCCGATTTTGAGGAAAAAGTTGCTGTCTCATCTGAAGCATATACCTATCTTAAATACGTAATACCAGTTTCGTACGAATTCTCGTTTTTGAGCTAGAGTGCAAACATACAAACACACAGACCATTTTTCGGGACTTGGTTATTTAGACTCGGGGTAATCCAATACGTGTATTTTCATTGAAAACTCATATTCAAAAATGTTCACGATCGCAATACTTATCCTTGCTATATATTACATATATACCTAAGTGAAAGTAAAAATTACAGTTATATCTATATAGCATTAAGCTAATAAATAACTGCAAGACTGTTGCGAGACTCTTGCGCCATGACCAAGACTCGTCTCGATCTCGCATTTGGGTAACACTATCTCTGAAGCACTGAATAGAACTCTTCTTATGAACATCCAGCTAACCTGTTTTTTTCATTAGGTTACGTAAGTGGGGTTCGGAGTGAAAAATTGTCTTCAACTTGAAATCCTCCTTATTCTGTAATCTTTCTAAAAATATGTCACTCTTTAATATTCTTTAACATTATGAATTTTGCAATTTATAGACGACTAAAGATTTATCACGATTGACTTTTCAATCCATCATATGAGACTCGAATAAAATTTTGTTAACAATGTTTTTACCATGTTTATCATTGACTTAATTATGTTTATAGATCATTCGGGATTTGAACTACGATGCAGGATTTGGTCTAGAACCGGATATGGCAGTGATCGCCTTAGTAAGTTCATTGTATGTATGTATATATATATATATATATATATATATATATATATATATATATATGTATATATGTATATATATAAAACTTATGATTAGACTGAATTAATGAACTAAAAAGGGGAGGGAGTTGGGCAGAGTAACAGTACGCAGATTCAAGACCAACTAACTTTATTATTAAATTCATCCAGTATATATAAAGACAATTTTTTTTTCATATACAAAAGTTTCTTAATCCTAATAGTAACATAGTTCCTATTGATATTTACAGCTTATACACAGCTAACTCCCTCCCTCCCTCCAGTTCCTTCCTATGTAGGAACTTATAAATAAAAAAATAAATGTTAAAAACATAAGTTCATACACTTTCAAAAAAAAAAAAAAAAAAAATAGAAGATTCACTTGCTTAAACATACTTATACTAAGATCTTAAAACGAAATAAAATACAGACAACCTAAGATACAATAACTTAACCTGTATATACAAAAAAAAAACACTTAATCTAGATAATACAAATGGAAATTATCTATGCAAATGAAAAGGAAAAAAAAAATTAACACTCTACTTGCATAATTATATCGATTGCAAGTTAATCATTATTGCTGAAAAACACAACAAAAGAAAGAAAGTATGAAAGAAAAAGTATGAAAGAAAGAAAGAGGAAAGAAAAAGAAAAACTTCCTAGCCGTGAGATGGTCCAGGCTGGGCGCCGCCGTCCGGCTCGCTTTATGGCTGGCATGATCTGCGGAACCCGAAGCTCTTCAAGGTGTGCCGTACGTGACCGAAACGGGTAATTCACGTCCCTGATGGTAAATAGATTATTCTCCCGTATCGTAATGACTTTATACGGCCCTTCATATCGCGCGGCCGTTTTAGTGCTGGCGGTTCGCAATGGCCTGTACACTATTGTTCCCAGCGCTAACGGACCCTTTCTATGAACTATGGGTCAGTTATTTGCCTTAGCCACCCGGGTTTGTTTTTCTCGAATTAATTTCTCTCGTACTATTGCTCATGTTGTTTGCTGCCCTACCCTTGCTTGATACATCTTAGTCCTAAGATCGTTATTGTTAGCCGTGATGAGGTCCCCTCTATCACGTCGTCGCTGTCCGAAAACAATTTCGACTGGCGATAGTCCAGTCGCTGCATAAATTGTATTGTTGTAGGCTATGACAGCACGTGGCATTGCATCGAATGGATCGAGATTACGACCTAACTTAAAAAGGCGCAGGCGTTCCCCTAAGGCCGTTCCACGGCGCTCCTACCCTTAATGTGATGTGGGGTGTTCAATCACCAATTAATGCCTAATATTTTGCTCTCGTCTCGAATTAGGGAGTTATCGAACTCTCTGCCACAATCTGAGACCATTTCGTCCGGAACACCGTAAAATGCGCACCAATGCAATACCCCTTCCCAAACTACCACAGGTGGTGTTTGTCTCAATAGCATAGGCCATCGCAAGTTTACTGAACGGGTCTACCGCCGTTAACCAGGATTGTCCCTCGCTGGAATACACATCTACCATTATGGCTCGTAGGGATTCTGTCGCGGTAATGGTGACTACTTGTTCGGCTACCGGAGGTTGTCGGTCGTACTTCGCCAGCTGGCAAACCTTGCTATACAATCCCCTACTGTGCTACCCACGGCTTTTAATAACAGAGTAATTTTAACGCGCGAAGGGATTCCTCCATTCCACAGTGATTCGTTTTTCCGGAGTGATGTACGGTAACGAGGTTCTGTTGTACCATCGGTTCCGTGATCGTTTCTATCTTCCGTAAACATTAAACTAGCGAGTATCCCATTCTTATCCTTTCTTGTCGCCATAGCCTCTTCAATTTCTCTGCAATCACCCGGTTACCCACATAAGTATAGCAATTCCTGCCTGGGTGGCTGAATTTCCCAAGTATGCGTTCTATCGCTCGTCTTGGTTTCTATTCCGGGGTCCTGTTTAGATTTTATAATGATCTTTTATCATTAATTATCTCGTCTACTTCGGGTAGTTCTGCGGGTCTGTCCGTCGGGGTTGCAATTTCCTCGGCCTCACTCTGGACAAAAGGAATCTCCGGTCCGCTTTCAGCCCACTCACGTAAATACCGCAACGCAAATGGATCCGCCGAGGCTTCCTCCTCCTCGATCGCGTTCACTACTAAATCCCGCGATAGCCAATCGGCGACCACATTGTCGACACCCTTTTTATGTATTACATGGAAATCGTAAACCGCCAGCCGTTCTTTCCACCGTGATACCCGTGCTGAAGATTCTTTAAGAGTTCCGAGATGTAATAAGGGCTTATGATCAGTCGGTAACTCGAACCGTCTTCCATATACCTATGATCGGAAGTATTCCACGGCCCATACTACTGCCAAAAATTCGCGCTCAATAGCACTGTAACGTTGTTCGGCTTCATTTAATTTCCGCCCCACCTATGCTATGGCTTTCTCGCCGCCTTAGAAATTTTGAGAAAGCACGGCCCCGATAGCTACCTCGCTCGCATCCGTGGTGATTTTGAATAAGTCGGAGAAAGCTACTAGTAGTCGACGAGTAGTCAAAATCTCTCGGTATTTCTTGATGCCCGGTATGCTAGCTAGCCCGGTCCTAATTAGAATCGTCTCCCTTATTTCAATATCTCGGTCAACGGCTGAGTGAGCTCCGCTATTCCGGGTATAAACTTTCGGTAATCGTTTATCATACCTAAAAACCGTCTGACCCCACGGGCGTTCTCACGAGCACTGCTTCTTTTCTACCAACCACATAGGGCTATTAAGGGGGGAATTACTTTGCCCGATAATGCCTGCTTAAGAAGTTCTTCGAATTGTTTCCCGATAATATCTCTCATGGACTGTGGGTAACGCCGATTTTTAACGTAAACTGGAGCCTCTGACTTCAGATTTATCCTATGCACCGTTCGCCCAGTGGTTTCTAGAAATTCGTTTTGTAAAATAAAATAACTCCTCGTTTTGTCCGACTAAGTGCGCCAGCGACTCTTTGATGCAATTTACAGCCCCAGCTCCCTATCATCGTTACTTCGTAGTATCGCTCCCCTGTTCTATACCGCCAAGTTTCATTCCTAGTCTTCATCATAAAGGCCGCGCGTTTTAAAACGTCGCACCCGATTATTAGGTCATAACCCAGCCTCATCTCCGGAATCATATGTATAGTAATCCGCGATTCACGTCCTGTAAGTTCCTTGAGGTCAAAGAGGGTCTCTCCCAATGTCTGGCCTCTGCCAGTAATCATTGATACCGCACAAACGCATCTTTCCCGTTCCGTCCAGATTCCCAGTTTTTCAGCCGCCCTTCTGCTGATTAAAGAATTTGTGGTTCCTGTGTCAATAAGAAATTTAATGCCGGATTCCCCCAGTCTCGCCACGGGCAACTTTGTCTACCGTCCTGTACTCGCGCTGTTATTAATAATTAAACTCCCCGGTTAGTTGCCCCTCCCATTCCCGCGTCGTCGATCCGAATGCCCGCGTTCTATCTTCGTTCCCGACGGCCCTCCCCTCCAGGGATTTTTCCCACTTACCTCTAACCTTCTCAAAATTGGCCCATTATTTCTATGAACTTTTTTTTGCAGCTCATGAGGTCTACTATAACTCCTATAAAAATTTCTCTCTACTTACGGGACACCCTGTATATGTTTATAATATCTATATACACATATACACACAAAGTGTCCCGTAAGTAGAGGGAAATATTTATGGAAGTTTTTTTTTTTTCCAAAATCTCTATTATAAATATTTATCCGTTGCTAGAAGTGTCCAGCCAAATGTTTTCCATCTTAGTATTTACGTTTAAGATACATAAAGCTGCTGATTGCTTCAATTATTTTCACACAAACGTAAATGTTAGGATTAGTAACATTTAACGGGTCTCTAAAAAATACAGAACAATATCTATAATAGAGATCTTGGTTGAAAAACACAGGTTTATTATCACTTTAGTTAATAAATATTCGAAAAACCATTATTTATAACTTTTTTTATAATAAATAAAAAGTGTACTTATGCATTTGTATTTATCATAATACATCCCAGGTCAAAGAAATAAAAAATGATGCTTTTCAGTAATTTATTGTAATCATGTTTGTTTATAACATGGTTACTTTTAGGTTACAGGATATCAAATACCATAATTTTTTTTATCCAGTTTTGTGGTGAATCTCATTATTTTTCCTAATAAATCTAATCTTTATCTACTTTACTATGGAACAATTTTTAATTACCTAAATTAATTATTACTGTAGTTATCGCTCTCTATTCATCGAAAAACGTCACTCAATTAAAAAATCACTGATCTTAAATTACCTACTTTTCTTCTTGAAAATGGGCCATTATTTACATAAACTTTTTTCTAGATCTTATTGTCTACTATATTATCCTTTTAAATATTTCCCACTACTTAGGGAACACCCTATATATATTGTTTACCCACAATAATTCAAAGTTATTATAATTATTTGTAAGTATATTAATTATTATCTTAATAATTTTTACAGGACTATCCACCTCCAAATCGTAATAACGAAAATGAAGGTGCAAATCAACGTGCAAATCAACGTGCAAATCAAGGTGCAAATCAACGTGCAAATCAAGGTGCAAATCAAGGTGCAAATCAAGGTGCAAATGCAGATGCAAATGAAGATGCAAATGTAGATGCAAATGTAGATGCAAATGCAGATGCAAATGTAGATGCAAATGTAGATGCAAATGAAGATGCAGATGAAGAATTGGTTGCAGATGAAGAATTGGATGCAGATGAAGAATTGGATGCAGATGAAGAATTGGATGTAGAAGAAGAATTGGATGCAAACGAAGAATTGGATGCAGACGAAGAATTGGATGCAGACGAAGAATTGGATGCAGATGAAGAAATGGATGCAGATGAAGAATTGGATGCAGATGAAGAATTGGGTGCATATGAAGAATCGGATGAATCAGATGAATCAGCTGGAAGTGTAATAAGTTTATTGTTTCATAATTCAAACAAGACCTAAGATTAATTTAAGTATTAAAATTTACCATTACCATTCAGCAGAGTCCTGGATAATTGCAAATAAGTACATAATAAATATTATTTAACAAATTTTTATAATATACATTTCTGCCAGGAAACATCTATATATACTTTTCGAAGGAACAATTTTTACCTATCTTTGATAGTCACATTAAAAAAAAAATCTGGTGCATGCAACACACAACTTTTACTTACCGTTCAACTTTGAATAGAAATTATTTTCTGGCCGTGTTGGGCTATTATAAAATTTTTGAATGGTATTTTTAATGGTACCATGGTAATATTTTTAATGGTATAGTATATATTACATATACTATATATTACATATATTTGTAAGTGAAAGTAAAAAATGTAGTGCGCGCAGTAATAAAGGCAAAATAATGCCCCGATCATAGGATATTCTAAATTATTAAAAAAATATATATAAGAACAACCAAATGTCCTTAAGAAATAATAAAGTTAATATAAAAGCCAGGAAGGAATATGTAGTAGACTATTCTACTCCTAAATGACAAAAAAAATGTATGTATGTACCGACAAAAAAACACCTATTAGAAATAATATATAGGACAGAAGAGCTGTGCTGAAATAGTCGTCATGACAACGACTTCACTTTTCGTTATGATGTTTTTGCACGCTTTTAAGTTAAAAGTTTAAGTTTTAACTGAAACATTCATAACTCAGGATTGTATCCTAATTCAATGTTTCTATAACCGCTGGAAAGCTGAATTATCTTCCTTCAAGATAATAAACAACTTTTTGATTTAACACCCCTATAAAGAGTAAATAAATACAAAAAACTCCTAACAGATTTTTATTTTATAACTTGAGTCCTAAATTATTTAGAAAGGTATAGTTTGTGTCATTTCGTGTTGTTTATAAGGCCCTACATCCCTGCAAAATTTCGTGTGAATATATGGATGGAAAAATACTGAAGTTATAACACTTATTGTGATTTTCGAAAAAATATCATATGCTTCCTTAGGTCAAATAAGTACGAAAACAATTTTATTTTTCGATCGCTATGAAATTTCGTATTCGAGGGTCTTTCAAGCTGCGAAATACAAATCTCAACTCTCTTCCTCCTTAAAAAAAAATATTTCAATACACTTTACTCCTTCTGTAAATACAAACTGTTTAAATTTTACATATTTCTAATAGATTTTTACAATTTTTTTTTTTTTTGTTTTGTAGGTAATTTAGTAATCTTTATAATTTTCATTGGTACAATCAAGAAAAGAATGTATACTTTTTGAGTTATTCGCAAATAAAGTTTCTTTTCCTCCATAACTTTTTTTACAGAAATTTCGGGTGGATGGGACTATTTTTGGCATGTGAAGAAGATGAATATCTTCAAAATGAGTGGTCAATTATTGAATTTGATGAAGAATTGACGAAGTTATGGTGTACTGACAAAAAAACACCTTTTAGAAATAATATATAGGATATTATTTCCGCTACTCTTCGTTACCTTCTAAAATTTTCTATATTAGATTTTTTGTTTTCATTGCTCTGCTTTCCTACAAAATATTATGTGTATACCTCCTGACTATTATTTCCGGCTTAGATATGTTTGTTTGTTTTTTCTCCCATATTCAATTATCAAATTCTTTCAAAAGTTATATTTAGCATTTTGTTAACTCCTAACAGTGAGAAACAGTTATTATTTATAATAAACCAAATTAAAGGTTCTTTAGAGGAAGATACGATAATTTCGAGATTTCACAAAAGGAAAATTCATCAAATTATTCACTAATTTAATTTTTTTTAAAGTTACATGACGTTGATTCATACTTATCTATATACATATAAATGAATGTATGCCTGTCTGTCTGCTACGAAGGTTTCTGACATAGTACTTCTGTCTTACGATAATTTTATATAATAGTAGGCCTGTGCGAAAAATTCGCACAGCATATTGTTATCAAATGCCAAATTAATAAGAAAAGAAAATAATGCAACGTATCAAAAGATAAAGTAAATCAAATGTTACTTTATCGATAAATATAATCGACAAAGGAAAGGAAAATTAATTTAAATCTTCATTTTTGTTTGGAACCAACATGTCTACAAATTTTGCATTGCTCTGCTTTCCTACAATACATTATGTGTATACCTTCTGACCATTATTTCCGGCTTAGATATGTTTGTTTGTTTTTCTCCCATATTCAATTATCAAATTCTTTCAAAAGTTATATTTAGCATTTTTTGATAACTCCTAACAGTGAGAAATAGTTATTATTTACAATAAACCAAATTAAAGGTTCTTTAGAGGAAGACACGATAATTTTGGGATTTCACAAAAGGAAAATTCATCACTCAATTAAAAAATCAAATCACTAATCTTAAATTACCTACTTTTCTCCTTGAAAATGGGCCATTGTTTACATAAACTTTTTTCTAGATCTTATTGTCTACTATTATTATCCTTTTAAATATTTCCCACTACTTAGGGAACACCCTATATATATTGTTTACCCACAATAATTAAAAGTTATTATAATTTTTTGTAAGTATACTAATTATTATTTTAATAATTTTTACAGGACTATCCACCTCCAAATCGTAATAACGAAAATGAAGGTGCAAATCAAGGTGCAAATCAACGTGCAAATCAAGGTGCAAATCAACGTGCAAATCAAGGTGCAAATCAAGGTGCAAATGAAGATGCAAATGTAGATGCAAATGAAGATGCAAATCAAGGTGCAAATCAAGGTGCAAATGCAGATGCAAATGAAGATGCAAATGTAGATGCACATGAAGATGCAAATGTAGATGCAAATGTAGATGCAAATGAAGATGCAAATCAAGGTGCAAATCAAGGTGCAAATCAAGGTGCAAATGCAGATGCAAATGTAGATGCAAATGAAGATGCAAATCAAGGTGCAAATGCAGATGCAAATGTAGATGCAAATGAAGATGCAAATGTAGATGCAAATGAAGATGCAAATCAAGGTGCAAATCAAGGTGCAAATCAAGGTGCAAATGCAGATGCAAATGCTGATGCAAATGAAGATGCAAATGTAGATGCAAATGAAGATGCAAATGTAGATGCAAATGAAGATGCAGATGTAGATTCGGATACAGATGAAGAATCGGATGCAGATGAAGAATTGGGTGCATATGAAGAATCGGATGAATCAGATGAATCAGCTGGAAGTGTAATAAGTTTATTGTTTCATAATTAAAACAAGACCTAAGATTAATTTAAGTATTAAAATTTACCATTACCATTCAGCAGAGTCCTCGATAATTGCAAATAAGTACATAATAAATATTATTTAACAAATGTTTATAACATACATTTTTGCCAGGAAACATCTTTATATACTTTTCAAAGGAACAATTTTTACCTATCTTTGAATAAGTCACATTAAAAAAACATCTGGTGCATGCAACACACAACTTTCACTTACCGTTCAACTTTGAATAGAAATTATTTTCTGGCCGTGTTGGGCTATTATAAAATTTTTTAATGTTATTTCCAACTGAGCTAAAGTTAAAAAATTACCGCTAGCAAATCATAAACATCATTAAAATAACAAAATTTTTATTTATTAAATCACCAGTTGATTATGGATTGTATGACTATTAATTTTTTCTGACTAGTATTTTCGGAGATTCATTTTCGACCTGGATAAGGATTTTTATTTTTTTCTCCTTTATACAATTATAAATTTTTTTCCAGAAGTCATATTTAGTATTTTTTCGTAAATCTTAATAATGAGAGATACTTAATTATTTAAAATAAACAATATTAAAGGTACTTTAGAGGAAGACGCATATGAACATTAGGCATTTAAGTCCTGTAAAGTGACATCAACGGGAATAAGACCTAAATGATATTAAATACCTCTTCATTATACAATAATAAACCGAGTTTAATCAAAATCGTTAGAGCCATTTTTGAGACAATTGTAAAAATGTGTTTCACCGTTGATATAAAGTGGCACATCCGGTTGGCCGATTTTAATGAAAAAGTTGCAGTGACATCTAAGGCATACACCTATCTTAAATACGTATTATCCGTTTTTGTTTTTTTTTTTGTTTTGTAGGTAATTTAGTAATATTTATAATTATCATTGGTACAATCAAGAAAAGAATGCATACTTTTTGAGTTATTCGCAAATAAAGTTTCTTTTCCTCCATAACTTTTTTTATAGAAATTTCGGGTGGATGGAACTATTTTTCGCATGTGAAGGAGATGAATATCTTCAAAATGAGTGGTCAATTATTGGATTTGATGAAGAATTGACGAAGTTATGGCGTACTGACAAAAAAACACCTTTTAGAAATAATATATAGGATATTATTTCCGCTACTCTTCGTTACCTTCTAAAATTTTCTATATTAGATTTTTTGTTTTCATTGCTCTGCTTTTCTACAATATATTATGTGTATACCTCCTGACTATTATTTCCGGCTTAGATATGTTTGTTTGTTTTTCTCCCATATTCAATTATCAAATTCTTTCAAAAGTTATATTTAGCATTTTTTGATAACTCCTAACAGTGAGAAATAGTTATTATTTATAATAAACCAAATTAAAGGTTCTTTAGAGGAAGATACGATAATTTCGAGATTTCACAAAAGGAAAATTCATCAAATTATTCACTAATTTAATTTTTTTTTAAGTTACAAGACGTTAATTCATACTTATCTATATACATATAAATGAATTTATGCCTGTCTGTCTGCTACGAAGGTTTCTGGCATAGTACTTCTGTCTTACGATAATTTTATATAATAGTAGGCCTCTGCGAAAGGCGGATTTAAATCTTCATTTTTGTTTGGAACCTGTGCATATCTTTGCTAAAAATTGTTCGATTTCGATGATTTTTTTCCCTTTTGTGAGGAATCTTTTATATAATCACAGGAATAACCTAGGCAAAAGTGTGTAAATTTTTTGTTATTTGCAAATAAAGTTTGTTTTCTTTCATAAATTATTTGCCTGAATTTTCGGAGTGATTGGGCCATTTTGTCCGCCTGAAGGAAAAGGGAGCCTTCGAAATTGGTGCCTCAATCTTGAGATTTGGTGAAAAATTAACGATGATACGGCTTGTAGATAAAAAACACCATCCATAAATAATATAAACTCCTCTTCTCCCGATCATAGAGACCTCAAGTCGACGAAATGAGATATATATTCAATGACAGTACTACACTAGCGGATCCAGGATTTAATTTTGGGGGAGGGGGCTTCAGCCCGAAAGATTATTTTTTCATATACATATAACATTAATTAATTAGAAAAACAAAAAGAAATTAACTACCTATATGAAATTGTGTTTAAGTGGTTTTTGAAATTATATTAAATGTAATTACACGAACAAGAATACTTTAAGAGATAGTTTTTAATGTTTTTTTTTCTGTAAAACATGGTTATATTTTACCATTTTGGGGGAGGGGGCTTCAGCCCGAAATCTTCCCCCTCCCCCGTAGATTCGCCTGTGCAGTACTACAACTGTGTGGATTGTTGTAGTACTGCACAGGCGGTGCAAAGGTTGTGTGGATGCCAACCCTATGCCTTGCGTCATCTCAAAAATAGTACGTTTTAGGGCTTAAAAATAATTACCACCATTCCAGTATTAAAGCCTAGCAAAATGTTTGTATTGTCTTCATTTATTTTAGAAAGAAAAACAAAACTGTGCGATGTAAATTACGATTCGCTAACCCCCAGTGAAATTCTGAATCCAACGTATTTGAGTATGACAGGAGCTTATATTTGGTACTAAACCGATTTCGAGCATTACTGTAATAATATATGTGGGGATGTAAAAAAATTAAAATGTAAATGTTTTTTTGTTCAAAGCCGCTATTCTCCGAAAGTTCTTCACCGATTGCTTTGAAATTTTCTTCTCTCTCTCTCTCTCTCTCTCTCTCTCTCTCTCTCTCTCTCTCTCTCTCTATATATATATATATATATATATATATATATATATATATATATATATATATATATATATATATAAATGAATGTCTGTCTGTCTGTTTGTCCTTTAAGCATTACTACATCATTCATCCGATCGCCATGAAACTTTGGGAAGTTGTTCCGTACACTCCTGTGAAGGTTTCTGGCATAGTACTTCTGTCTTACGATAATTTTATATATGTAAAAATACGAGATCGAGATGAGTCTTGGTCATGGCGCAAGAGTCTTGCAACATTATTAGCTTAATGCTATAGAGATATAAGTGTAATTTTTATTTTCACTTAGGTATATATGTAATATATAGCAAGGATAAGTATTGCGGTCGTGAAAATTTTTTAATCATATTTTTCAAAGGAAATACACGTTTTGGAGTACCTTGAGTCCAAATAACCAAGTCCCGAAAAATGATCTGTGTGTGAATATATTAGCAGTCTAGCTCAAAAACAAAATGTCGTACGAAACTGATATTATGTATTTAAGATAGGCATATGCCTTAGATGTGACAGCAACTTTTTCCTTAAAATCGGCTGACCGGAAGTGCCACTTTACATCAATGTTGAAACAAATTTTTACAATTTTCTTAAAAACTGATCTAACGATTTTGATTAAACTCGGTGTAACATTATATAATTAAGTGGTCTTTAATATCATTTATGTCTTATCCCCGTTGATGTCACTTTAGAGGGCTTAAATGCCCTGTTCATATGCGTCTTCTTCTAAAGTACCTTTAATATGGTTTATTTTAAATAATTAACTATCTCTCATTATTAAGAGGTACGAAAAAATGCTAAATATAACTTTTGAAAGAATTTGATAATTGAATAAAGAAGAAAAAAATAAAAATTTCTTATTATTAATTTTAGTGATGTTTCTAGTAGCAAAATTTACACCGTAATCCACAGTTCTATATTTCAACACTGCTATCACCTACTCCGGAATCAACTTACTCACTGTCTGATTTGATAACTTTTTCAAATAGAAATATCACTAAAATGACATTACTTAAAAATGTTGAAATTGGAGTTAGTCATTCTGTCAACTGAAAGGGTGACGTTGTGTGGTTTATAAAAGTAGATGGAGTGATTAGATTTTTATTGCCTATTGTCGATACAATAAATAGACTTTTTGTAATTATAATGGTCTTAATGATTTGTTATCTGTAAGCTTTAAGCTTTAGTTCCGTTTAAAATGCACTTCAAAATTTTACAATAGCCCAGCATTGCCAGAAAATAATTTCTATTCCAAGTAGAGTGGTAAGTGAAAGTTGGGTGTTGCTCACACCAGATTTTTTGGATCACTGTAGCAAATCCATAAGTATTTCAATGTCCAAAAATTTCTTAAATTTATCATACATGTAACAATATAAAATAAAATTGAATTACCCGATCTTTGGTGAGGTAATATCATCAAGGTATACTTTGACTGAGTTATAAATATAATCAAAGAATGATGTAAACATTAGTTATTTATATTAATTTTCTTTTATAATTTGTTTTAGGACCACTATCCACATCGACCTAATATTAGAAGTCCCGTAAGTTCTTTATGAAAAGTATTTTTTGCTATTCTCATTAAAAGAAAACTCATATTGGAAGTAATTATTTTATAATGTCATAATTATTTAGATTTTAGAAAGCAAAAATTCAGTGTGAGCAAAAAATCAATTTCACTGTAAAGGTTCTCCAAATTACCGTATTACAAAATTAAGACAGTAGAATTTATATACAGCTGATGTATAATGACAGTATATATACATTTGAACCATTGTTAATTGAATTTCCATCTTTATACATAAATATATTTTGTATATCGAATAATATTTCCATATGCAAAAATTCAGTGTTCAGCCGAAGTTTCACTGTAAAGTTCTTCCAAATTGTCGTATTACAAAATTTAGACAGTAGAATTTATTCTAATTATTAGAAGTTATCTGTAGCAGATGAATAATTTCAGATTATTTACTTTTGAACCATTGCTAATTGAGTTTTCATCTATTTGCATATCGAATAATATTTCCATATGTCAAACAATATTTCATGTATCACCTTCCTTTGAAAAAGTTAGGTTCTTGTGTTTTTTTATAATTACCATACCCCTAACAATATAAAATTAAATTAAATTATCAATCTTTTGCAAGGTAACATGTATACTTTGACTGAGTTATAAATGTAATACAGCAATGATATTACTAGTTATTTATATTAATTTTCTTTCACAATTTGTTTTAGGCGAACATTATGCCTGAACTTACTCTTA